ATACAACACAGATTGGGGCATGCTATCAAAAACTGCTTAGCTCACTCCTTACACTTTCTCTGGTTTGAAAATAAAATTAAAAGTAAGAGTGAGCTAACATGGCTCAGTAAGCTATCACAACCTAAAACATAAATCAATAATTAAAGTCAAAAGAATTGAAAAGTATTATAATGTAATAATAAACTGAAATATTGTACAAAAAGTTAAAACTAAAACATATAGTGATATTGAGTGCATTTAACTAACCAATGAATGATATTGAAATTAAAATATAAACAAATGTTTTGTAGCAATTTTCAGAATAACCCTTAGGCTCCAGCATCATAACATCGATATATAGATATCTCAATAACCTGCATCATAATGCTCCAAGTCATAAGTGACCTTTGGGAAGGGTCTAAGAGTTGGTTTGGTTTAAAATTGCAGTGAAACTCAGTAACCTGCGTGATTGAGTGAAACTTCAATTTTAGTTGGTTTGGTTTAAAATTGGAGTTTTTAGGGTTAAGAGATAAATTTGGTCAACTCTCTTTGACCCGTGTCAGATGGATTTATCATGGCTCCTTAACCTATGGGAAGGGTCCAAGAGCAAGCCAAGGGTTCATAGGGTAGATCCTAGCCTTGGCTAGATTGTAGGGAGTGCCATAAGGCTTAGGTTAAATAGATTTTGCTTAGGGTTTTACAATTTTGGATTTGACTTCGGGTTAACCTAAGGTTGACCTAGTGTGATCCATTATCTATATAGAGTAAGTAGGATGTATCCTAATGCCATTGGATATCTTTTATATAAGTCTAAGGTTAATTAGACCATGACTAGTTCAATTAAAACTAAGGGTGTAAACAAGTCAAGTCGAGCTCGAGTCATCCAAGCTTGAGCTTGAGCTTGAGCTTGATTAACTAAGGGAGTTTGAGCTGGAGCTTGAGCTTTATTCTACAAGTTTGAGCTGGTTCATGAGCCAGCTCATTTATTTTGAAAAAAAAGAAAAGGCTTATGATTCAAGCAATTATTATAATAAAATGATAAAAAGAGATATTAGAAAAAAATTAATGAAGAATAACTTAATATAAGAATGTAAGATGTTATTTATAAATAGTTTTAACTGCATTGCACTTAAAATCCTGAATAGCTATATATCTTGAGTGTATTATATATTATAAAATTTTAAACGAGCCGACTCACAAGCTAACGAGTACAGTTAGGTCTAGCTCAAGTTAGGTTGTTAGCTCATCTAGCTCGGCTCACAAGCCATTTATCGAATAGAGCTTGAGCCGGCTCACGAGTCATAACTCAACTAATACCCCTATTTAAACCCTAAAACTACCCTACCGGTATTTTGGAGTTTAAGCTTTAGATTTGACTTCAACCTATTACAAATAGATTTGTAAAAGATTAAGAAGGTCGTTAGATTAGCTTAGGAGAGTCTAGGATAGGCTTCAAAGGGGCTTACATGCCATATGAGGCATACTAGGGTAAGGGTCTCAAGTGTCCAAAATATGGTATGTTTTATCCTAAAGTTTTAGAGTTTCTATAGCAAGTCATAGCTAAGTCCTTAAAAATTCGTCTATGAGGTTCTATGAGAAAAGCCCTATATTAGGGAAAAGATCCTTTAATTGAAGATGAGGATTTTGTTATCCATTCGACACTTCTTTTGCATTTGAGTAATTTTTAACATATTTTAGGTTATTAGGCGGCGTTTCATCCATATCTGACATCCAGCACTGGGTTGGAGTAGGAGCAAGCATGGCTTCCTTGCTCGGCAGTGTCGCAGCGTTCACCACACTCTCCTCCACCGCTCGAGTACATGATTTAGCTCTCTTCAGAGAACCTCGACAGCAGCCTTCACATTCTTTTCATTCGAATCGCTCCTCCGCTCTCTGCAGCTTTGCTTCCCTTTCTCTCCGACCCCTCTTTCCCCCTGTTCCTCTTCGTTCTTCCAGATGGAACCCGCCGGCAGCGGAGGCGGAGGACGTAATTCCGGTGGAGGAGTCTCCGGCGCCGGATCCCGTCGAAGCTCAGATAGAGGCTGCTGCTGCCAGCTCTACTCGTAAGGGTGAGGATGTCTTTGCAGTTGTGATGGTGAGCTGCTGAACTCCGGAATATCAATTTCTTCAGAGCGTTTTTGAGTTTTCCTTGATTCTAGTTTCTAATTCGTCTCGCTACTGCTGAATTGTTTTCAGATTGGCTCAAGGCAGTACATTGTCATTCCTGGAAGGTTTATCTACACGCAGCGGCTGAAGGGTGCCAATGTTAATGACAAGGTCAGTTGCTTGGTGTTGGGCATGGCTGTGAATGAGTTATTGAGTTATTTTATCATTTAACGAAGGCAGTACCAAGTAATGAGGATTGGCTCGTGTCATTTATGATAAACGTGTTTCTAGATAATTCTGTTAACTGAACTAGATATAATGCAGTATCATTTGCCGACATCAAACAACATTTTATTTTACAAGTAGTCTAGGAAATATTTACAGACAATAGTTTTCTTCATTGCAGCAGCCAGAACTCTTAACCATCAATATATTGTTTACTTTTACCTTATGACCATATGGTTTTTTCTCCTTGGTGTAACTTCACTAGCGGTCACCCATCCTAGGAGTGCTCATGTACGAGCATGCATAACTTTGGACCATTATGTCAAAAGAAGCTTTGATGTTTAAGTGTTTAGCTTTATTATTGTAAGGAGTTTTACAATCCCCCCACTTTGATCACTGAAGCCTTTGTCAGTTTCCTTAACCTATAATCATCCGCATGACATATAGGATTCTAAAGGTGGAATTCCCATCTTTCAATTGGTATATTGTTCTGATACCATTTGTTATAGCCAGAATTCTTAACCATTGAGATATTATATGCTTTGACCTAATGAACTCACATTTTTATCCCCTTGATGTAACTTCTCAAGTGATCATTAGTCTTAAGAGTGCTCCTGTACAAGTATATGAACTTTGAAATTTCTAATGAAACTCTACCTATTATGCTAAAAAACATCTCAATGTTTAAGAGTTTGGCTTTATTGTCATAAGGGGTTTCATACCCAATTCATGTATTTTGAATAGGTCGAGGTAAGAACCATGTAGCCTAATAATATCTTTCCTAGATCTAATCATGAAGACCTTTTTGCTTTAACCTTGGACCAATAGTAAACTAAAGGAAAAAAAAAAACTTATAATAGGATATCTTTATACATTTTGTATCATGATAAGAAGATAAAATGTAAGTCAAATGATTAAAATTAGAGAATGTTTACGTTTTCTGAGGGACAAAATTGTGTTTTCTATTTTTATTTAAACATCTTATAGTTTAAATGTTCTGCATTTTATTATTTTAACCCTTATTCTGATACAAAACACATCAAGATATTTTAATATCCTCCTTAGAATTACATTACCCAATTATGAAGACCTTCTGCTTAAACCTTGCACCAATAGTAAACTAAAGGGAAAAAAAAACTTATAGTGGGATATCTTTATAGTTTTTGTATCATGATAAGAAGATTAAATGATAAAATGCAATAGTCAAATGCTTAAAATTAGGGAATTTTTACGTTTTTTTAAGGCAAAATTGTGTTCTCTATTTCTATTTAAACATCTTAGAGTTTAAATGTTATGCATTTTATTATTTTAACCCTTATTCTGATACAAAACACACCAAGATATCTTAATATCCTCCTTAGAATTACATTACCCAATCATGAAAACCTTTTGGTTTAACCTTGCATCAATAGTAAACTAAATGGAAAAAAAATTATAGTATATCATTATACGTTTTGTATCATGATAAGAAGATAAAAAGATAAAATGCAAAAGTCAAATTCTTAAAATTAGAGGATGTTTCAGTTTTCTGAAAAGACAAAAATGTGTTTTCTATTTTTATTTAAATATCTTATAATTTAAATGTTCTGCATTTTATCATTTTATATGTTATATTGATACAAAATATTTCAAGATATCTTAATACAATTCTTTTCCAAAATTAAATTCATTAAACTTATTATATTTGATTGAGTATGCATAATAAAATTAGACACATGGCAAAAATTGTTGCTGTAAATGCAACAAAATATAAAATTCTTGTTTTGCAAATAAAATTGTCTCGCTTTATCATAGGATATTTTAGATGTTAGTTTTTAAAATTATACACCCATATTCATTTGGGACATGTTGACGAAGTACAAAGAGAGCATGAATCAATGAGTTGAACAAGTCACTGATTGGGCATTAGCTTAATCTCCTACAACTTCATGCTTGCCATGCTTAAAGTCGCTCAAAGCCACAAACCGCCTCGATCCAAATCATGTCAAGTTGCTCAAATAACAAACCTTACTTGATCCTTAATATTCACATATCTAACTCACCCATGGCACTTACAAAGTCACCAACTTTTCAAGTCTATTCAACCTTTGAACTTGAGCACTCACCTCAAGTACTTGCACGCCGACAAGGGGTTTTTGCCATGAGAACTTGTTTAAGGATATTCACTCTCAAACTAGAACTCACCCAAAGCTCCTGCTTGCAAAGATCCACAAGTTAGGCTCATCCTCTACCCATTTGGCTACACATAGTCTTGGTTATATATTTCATGAGTTACATTATTTAGTCAATTATGTATTGTGAACTTAGCGCTCATTTACAAATAACGGGTCATTGCGCATAAACATAGCACAATGTTATACTTTTACAAAAAAATCAAACTCACTAGTCTCTCTTATAATATTTCTTAGCTTTTACTCAGAATATATCTTTTTGAATCCTTCCTATAACTCATTTTGATTTGCTCGTCTTTGTTTAAGCTTCAACGAAGCCTTATTTAGATCTATTTGATCAAGAAGAGTCTTTGAGACAAAAAACCATACATGTGGATGTGCCAAAGACAAATTATTAGTTCATGGAACATGTTAATGATAGGGAAAGGTCCTTGTATGGCCAGTGGCATAACATATGCCACCTTTGAGTGCTTGCAATGTATGGAGAGGATCATTTGACAAGGATGACCAAAGGAATCTTCGAGCACTTCCCTTATGCTGCTCCTTTTGCCCAATCCTCTCAAGACTACCAATTAGTCATCTCCCTAGTGCACCGATGCCATTGTAGTCCTAGAGTTTATTGCAATAACTTGATTTGAACATGAGTTTTACCTCTTTGAGGAGAGTATTTTAGGGACTCCCTCCCTTATCACCCAACAAGGTGTCAAACATTGCCTTTAAATATATATTTATTTTTTGTGGAGATCATAGAGCCATAGACACTGTCTAAATTCAATATACTTGCCTTGGATTCCTATCAAGGGAAGTCAAACCTAACTAATTATGTTTCTCACTTCTAGTTAACAATCTCTTTTCTTATAGTTAGTAGGAAGTCAAGTTTTTTGTCTCATCTACCCCATTTTTACAGAGGCAACATTATGGTGTTTCTCTCATATTTCTCTTGGGAGCATTATTTTTTTTTTTATTTCAAGTAATAATTTATCTTGTGTATGCTTTTTGTTGATGATATTCTTCTTGTTGATAAGGCTAGAGAGTGAGTTGAAGGAAAACTTGAATTATGGAGGTCAACCTTATAGTCTAAAGGTTTTCGCTTGAGTAGATCTAAAACTGAATATATGGAGCTACTGTGGGTGCTTGTATTTGTTCTCAATTTCTTCATGTATGTTGATAGGTGAGTTACCACATTTACCTATATATCTTCTAATACTTGTAGGAGCTACTGTATATATTTGCGAGACATTTGACGTTAGTCATAGAGACTTTCACATTCTCTTGCATGACTTGTGTGAACTTTACACATTGATTTCTGTCATTTGTATGCAGCTTGCACTATTACTAAGGGACTTTGTCCATCTCTTTGCAATCAAATTACATTTCCCTTCTGATTTCATCGTTTGCAAGGCTGAGCATATTCGTATACATGTTTATGCCGATTGCAGTAGTGTTGTTGTAGTCTCCCTACACATGTTTGCAGGATAGCCACCATATATGTGGCACATTTGCATTATCACTTCTTGATACGCTAGGAGGACTAATGTGTTTTCTTGAAGTTAAGTCTTCATTTGCATGTCACCTATGTTTGAAGACCTTCTGCCACTAGTTCTTTTGCTTGCGTTAAACGTCTGTGTTCATTTGAAAGTTTCATATTTTTATTGTAAGCATGATGATTGGAATATCACCACATTTATTACACACGTTCTTGTTCACAAGCATGTCAAATGTGTTTGTAGAGAATTCCTCTTTCGTATTTGTATGTTGCTTATGTCTAAAAGTGTTCTACCATGAATCCTTTGCATGCATTTGGTGTTCATTCTTGAATCAATTATAAGCAAGTCATGCTCAGCTCCGCAAATCTTTGTTTGATTATTGATATTCATTAGAAAGATCCAGGTCTTTATTCAGCATTTGCATTCATATGATTGGTACTTGTTAAGTTAAATTCTCATTCCGTATGGTTCATGTTCAAGTCCAACTTGATGTTAAATTTGAGCCCCCTGCTATTCAAGTCTTGTTCAAATCCCACTTGATATTGTATAGTTCAAGTTCAATGTCCATAAGTCCTTCTTGTCCACATATTGTTCCAGTTTGAGTCCAATTCATTGTCATTCGTTGCAAGTCCAAATTCATTTTCGATTTAAATTTGAGTTGATTTGACTTAGGCTCAATTTTACGTTTAGTTCATTATCCATATCAAGTCCTTTATTTGTCTAAAGTTGTTCAAGTCCTCTGTGTCTTCAGTCGGAATTTCGACAGACTCCCAGCGTCTCCCCCAGAAAAATTACGGAAAACTGGGCCTCCCGCCACGCTAGATAAAAGCATGTACGGTAGGTGCCCTCGTACGAGGACATCGCGGCCGTAAAATCTTTGTCCCCACCACGCTAAGAAAAGCCTGTATGGGTCTTCTACAGGTACCTGTTGCAAGAGAGAAGCAGTTGTTTTCCCGCAGGTACAGAGCCGTGTACGAGTACTTAAGAGTTGTCCTAGCCACACTAAGAAAAGCGTGCACCAGGCTTACCTGCCTCGTTGCATGCGTAGCACCGGGTTCTCTCCTACCATGTAAAGAAAAGCGTGTATAGGTGGTTGACCGGCTCGTCACACACCGAGGACAGGATTTTGGAGTTGAGGGGTCGCTCACCTACCTTGTCGTAGGTGTCGTACTAGGTTCCCTTCCCACCACCCTAGAGAAAAGCGTGTATGAGTGATTTGCCGGCTCAACATGCACACCGAGGTAAGAGAGGGATTTTAGTTCATGAAGTTATACTTTGGCGACCCGACGGTGGAGGCTCGTGGCACGAGGCAAGGGAGGTGCAATCATTTCTTTTTTTATTAATTATAACTAACTATTAATTAACTATAATTAGTAAATTAATTATAATTATAATTAATGACTAATTATAATTAATCAAAATTAATTATAAATTATAATTAATTACTAATTATTAATTAATCATAATTATAATTAAATAATAATTAAAGATAATTAATAATCATTATAATTAATTAAAATCTTGCTTTACTAGATTTGGCCGGAGAAGCGCCCGAAAGGGGAACGTTACCCTCACAACCAACGAGCTCTCGTTCGTGCTTCCGATCCGACAGTTAGGAAGGCTGCCGAAGGAGCAATGTCGGACAGCAACGGAGAAGCCGAGGAAGCGCACGATCGGGAGAAGGTTATCTTCACACGAGCGAGCTCACGTTGTTGCTTACGATCAAAATGTCGTAACTTCCGACCGACTGGAAGGGAATCGTCGAAGGGGCAGAGTCGACCAGCCAAGAGGGAGCTGGCAAAGCACTTGAGGGGGAGAAAATTTCCTTCACCGCGAGCGAACTCCCGTTCCTGCTTCCGCTCAGGTTGCCGTAACTTCCGATCTCACAGAGGGAAAGTCGTCGAGGGAGCCGAGTCGAACAGCGACTAAGGAGTCGGGGAAGCGACGCGAAGGGTAGAGATATCGCGAGAGAGAGCGGGAGCGAGAGAGAGTGAAAGAGCGAGCGAGAGGCCGAAGGCCTGGTCTCTTCGGCCATTTAACGACGCGAGCGGGTCGTGCCACGTGGGAGGAGGTCGTGGACATGTGCGACGTGCGCGGGATGGCTTTGGCAGAGCAGGTAAGCTATTTGTTTTTTTTTTTCGTTACACAGGTCAACATGGTTGTTTCCTGCTTTGCACAATGCCTATTTCTTTCACAGTTCAAGCACTATGCCAACATTATTTCACTGTACCGATTTTTCCACTACAATCCCTTATCCGATATCCTGCTGGCTTGCGTGAAATCCTAACAGAGAAAGGATTTCTGTTGGTTCCCAACAACAACAACAACAACAACATAAAGCCTTTATCCCACTACGTGGGGTCGGCTATATGAATCCTTTTTTTCCATTGTGTCCTATTAAAAGTCAAATTCTCGTTTAAATCTAATAAAGAAAGGTCATTCCTAATATTTTCTAACCAAGTCTTTTTAGGTCACCCTTACCTTTCTTAACATAAGTCAAATCTAATACCTCTACTCTCCTAACCGATTCATCGGAAGGCCGCCATTTTATGTGACCAAACCATCTAAGGAGACTCTCTCTAATCTTTTCTTCTACTGGAGCTACTACAACCTTTTCACGTATATGCTCATTTCGTATCTTATCTCTAAGGGTAAAGCCACTCATCCACCTGAGCATCCTCATCTCTGCCACACTTAACTTAGTATTATGCTTCTCTTTTAATGGCCAACATTCGGCACCATAAAGCATTGCAGGCCTCACAACCACCTTATAGAATTTTCCGAGGGGTACATTTCTATCACATAACAGAGAAAGGATTTCTGTTGGTTCCCGTGGAGCAAAATAAGATATGGACAATGAGGCCCACGCATTACTGCTATTATAACTTCTTTTCAGTCAAGTGAAGCCTCTTTTCAATTAATTATTAGCTAAAAAAAATCATATATCCACGTTATACTATTAAAAGCCTATAAGTAACACTAACAGACTTTAATTTGTATCAATTCTAAAATATGAATCCTTTAACTTTTATCATTTACTAATTAATTCTAATTTAACTGTTAATATTAATTTAACAGTAAATTAATAATAGTAAATTTTAAAATAAAAATTTAGGTTTTACAGTTATGAAACTCTGTTATGCATGATATCTATCATTCTGTCCTTTTCTCTTTTGTTGCAGGTCATACTAAGCAAAGTCTTGTTAGTTGGAACCCCAAAAAAAGCATATATTGGGCAACCAGTTGTAACCAATGCTGTAGTCCAAGCGGTGGTGGAAGAGCAGGTAACATAAGACTGTTGAAGAATTTTTGTTGCAGTTAATTGCTGCCTTTGCTTCACTCAGTTTTATTTATTTATTTATCTTGCAATGCTTACAGGGACTGGATAAGAAAGTTATTGTTTTCAAGTATAAGAAGAAGAAGAACTACCGAAGAAATATAGGACACCGGCAGGTAGCAAAATCTTCTATTTACCAATAATGAGGTCTTCTAAAGTTTTGTTTAGAACAGCTTTTTTACTGCTTCTACTTTTAAAAAAATTACTTTAAGAAATAGTAAAAAAGCCGTTCCAAATGAAGCCTAAATTTCAAGATGTTTATTTTTCAAAAACTTGACTACGCATAAAACAATAATTTGATTCTTAACAGCCTAACACAAGGATAAGGATCACCGGCATCTCTGGGTATGAAGACTTCCCTGCTGACACCATGCCAGAGCCAGAAGAGGCAGTTGCAGCGTAAGTTTGTGCTACAAAGTTTGATCCTGTTGTTAATTATGTTTTGAAATTTCCTGTGAAGTGCTGCCCAACAATTATTTCTTGTCTGATAGTATAAAGTTTAATTCATCTCCTGAGAAGTACTTTCCCAGAAATTTCTCTTTTTTTTTTTTTGTTTTTTTGTTTTCTGGGAAAACTTGCACAGAAAGTTCTCATTCTTCTCTAGTGTAGGAGAAATTATTATGTCCGGATAAAAAATTGAAAATTCGGACGAATACCGAGCAATACCGAGTTTGTACCGAGCACGGTATTGAGCGCCCAAGTGACGTGGTGCTTTGTTATTGTTCGCTGGACGCGTTCGGTGTCCGGACACAATAATTACTCCTAATGTAGTGGTAAAATCCGCCTCCCATTCTATATATACCAACATTTTGAAAATGTTACACTTTCCAATTCGCCTATATCTATAATCTGTTGAACGCCACTCTGTTATTAACCAACTTCCTTCCTTCACTGCAGTAAGATCCTTAGATTTTGTTTGGAACAATTTTTTTAGCTTTTTAGTACAAATTTTCTTAAATTAGAAATTTTATATTAAAAAACTGATTTAGAAAACAGTAAGAAAGCTTTTCCAAATGAAGCCTTAGTCCTTACTAATGATCACATATAACATTGTGAGCATCAAAGTTTGGTTAATTTTCTGGCTTTATGATAGCAAAAATACATAGATGTTAATTTGTATGTTCAAAATTTTACTATTTTGTATTTTATAGTTGAAGCTTCTGTAGAAACTTAGCTCACCTCTGCTGGATTAATGACACATCTGAGACGTCTTGACCGCCTGATCAACTAAGTAATGAAAATAGTCATCTAAGTTGTTTGTTTGGGAGAAAGGCTGCTAGGTTGATGGGTGATGAGAAATTTTTTTCTTATAATAATTGGAATTCTTAGACTTCATTTGGGGCAACTTTCTTACTGTTTTTTAAAACAAATTTGTAGTATCGAAATTTCTTGAATTAGAAAATTTTGTACTGGAAAGTTATTTTAGAAAAGAGCAAGAAAGTTGTTCCAAACGAAGCCTTAGGGTTCGTTGGGGACGGCTAAGGTTTCGTTTGGGATGGCTTTTTACTACTTCAATTCTTAAAGCAACTTTTTAGTACAAAAAAATAAGAAACAATAAGAAATCCGTCTCAAACGAAGCCATAGACTTCGTTTGGGGCTGCTTTTTTACTGCTTCTTAAAACATTTTTCTAGTACAAAAATTAAATTTTTTGTACCAAAAAGCTGCTTTAAGAAGCAGTGAGAAAGCCGTCCCAAACGAAGCCTTAGTTCATGTTGAGAATTTAGGAATTTTCTTTGGCTCATTTGGTTGCTTGATATTAAAAAACATATTTTGCAAAATGTTGAAGTTTACTAAATTCATCATGTGATGGAATGTGTTGAGTGACAAACAATGATTTCAAATTTTAGAATGTTTCTCCAAAATCCCTAACTAGAAAATGACTGGTTTTATTTTCATATTTAAAATAAGTGAAATTAAAATTATATTATCAACTAAATAAACCCTTAAGCTTTTTATGGTGATGTGTTCCTTCAAGTTCTTATTTGGTTGCTATGAGATAGAAATATGTTATTCCTTTTTTTTAGATGGTTCAAAGAAATGTCTAATTAAACCTTTTTTTTTCTATATTTTCTTTTAAATACAACATTATGTATTCATTCTTTGTACACAACCATACATTATGGATTAACATTTTGAGTCTCTATCACCACATCTTAATGTGATTGGATGTGATTATTAGATTCTGTAGCTTCTTACTCCCCTCTCACATGGATATGACACTCCCTTATTTTCTTCATAAATATAAATCTAGGGGTGTCAATTCGAATCAACGGGTCGGGTTCGTGTTGAATCCGATTTGATCCGTTTGTAAACAGGATGACATTAACCTAATCCAACTTTATAAATGGGCCAGGTTTGTCAACCCGGACCTGACCCATGTGGGTTACCGGGTTAACCCGACCGACTCGTGATATAAGTGAGGATCGCAAAATCGAACTCCAAACGTGTGAGGTGAGTCGGTGATGGGTTCGGCGGTGAGGCCAGCGACCATATGCGAGCCTACGGCCATGCGGGCGAGGCGGAGTTAGCGACCAATTGCGGGGAGTATAGGACGGGGCGATAAGACCAGCGAACAATCACAGCGCATACAGCTTGTCGAACTCATCAGTGGGGATGGGATGGGTAAGCGGGGACGGGACAGGTGGAGCTGACACGACTAGCTTAGGCGCGAAGGCGGAGCTGACGCTAACTCCGCCTTCGCGCAACTCGAGGCAGATAGGCAGTCACATTCCTGGTTCAACTCAGGTTGACTTCGGGTTTTTTGGTCAACCCAACCCCGGTCCTTTTTTTAAACGGGTCAAAAATCCGAATTTGAACGCAACCCATTTTCTAACCGGGTTCAAACTTCATAAATAGAATATTATAATGTTATATTATACCCATTAAGTGATTATTAAGCTGGGTTTTCTTTCCAATTCTCTACTTAACTATAAAAATAGCTTTCACAAGAACAATAACTTTTGACATTTGTATTCATCATAAATCAAATAAACTTGTTGCGTCCTGGAGTATTCGCGGCGGTAGAGAAATATATAGTTTAACGTCTTAGCATTGTACGAAGATCCAGCACACAATCAGATAAGTGAGAGGGTGTAGCGTTCATAAGAGCACCATAGTTTTTACGTGGAAAACCCCTGAAAAGGGGGAAAAACTACGGGGCCTGGCCCAGTTTGAATGAATCCACTAGTATTTGCAGTCGATTACAAATGAGGCCCTTCCTTGGAAGAAGGCCTTGGATTGATGTAACAAATGTACATCATATAAAGTGCATTACATGGTGGGAGTTACATATACATGTTTGTTTGGTCGGAAGGGCCGTAGTCGGCAAGAGACCGGGGTCAGAAAGATCGTTGTCTAGTGATGGAGGTCGGAAGAACCGTAATAGGCGACGAAGGTCGAGAGGACCGTAGTCGGCAGGAGACCAGGGTCTGAAAGACTGTAGTAGGAGGGCGATACTTCTATAGAAGTTCGGGTATCAGGCGGTGGACTAGTGGAGCTCAGGGCCTTGAGTGGTGTTCCAGAAGAAGTCCAGGCCTCAGGTGGTGGTTCGGCAGAGTCCGGGCCTCAAGTGGTTGTCCGGTGGAAGTCCTGGCCTTAGGTGGTTGCCTGGTGGAGCGCAGGGCCTTAAGTGGTGGTCCAGAAGAAGTCCGGGCCTCAGGTGGTGGTACGGCAGAGCAACGACGTCAAGTGGTTGTCCGGTGGAAGTCCTGACCTTAGGTGGTTGCCTAGTGGAGCGCAGGGCCTTAAGTGGTGATCCAGAAGAAGTCCGGGCCTTAGGTGGTGGCCTGATGGAGTAACGACGTCAAGTGTTTGTCCGGTGGAAGTCCAGGCCTTAGGTGGTTGCCTGGTGGAGCGCAGGGCCTTAAGTGGTGGTCCAGAAGAAGTCCGGGCCTCAGGTGGTGGTTCGGCGGAGCAACGACGTCAAGTGGTTGTCCGGTGGAAGTCCTGGCCTTAGGCGGTTGCCTGGTGGAGCGCAGGGCCTTAAGTGGTGGTCCAGAAGAAGTCCGAGCCTCAAGTGGTGGTTCGGCGGAGCAACGGCGTCAAGTGGTTGTCCGGTGGAAGTCCTGGCCTTAGGTGGTTGCCTGGTGGAGTGCAAGGCCTTAAGTAGTGGTCTAGAAGAAGTCCGGCAGTGGTGGACCAGTGGTGGTTCGTCGGAACTTCAGCGGTGGTCCGGCGAAACTCCGGCGGTGATCGAGGAGGCAAGGAAGCAAGAGCGATCTCGGGTCTCTCTCTTTTTTCCTTAGGCTCCGGGATCCCCCTTTTAAGAGGAGAGGGAGCTCTATTTATAGATTTCTGGAGTGGCATGGTCCGTAAATAGGCAAGAGATCAGGGGTAAATGTGGAGTGGTTGGATGGACGGCTGATATTGAATCCCTTGATCATGTATCGTTTGTCAGTCATTTGGAAGCCTTAATGATTTCGGAATTCAGTGATCTTGGGCTCGTTGGATTCGTCTCGTCGAGCCGCTCGATTCGAGTATAAGCTCGTTAAAATCGGAGACCGTTTGGTAACTCAAATTGTGGTTTGAACCTTCCAACAGCGCTTCGGGTCCTTGATTTGGATCGATTCGGGCTCGGATTGAGTCGAATTTGGTGTCGTTGGGTTTGTATTCCGGAGACGCTCAGTTCGACTATAAGTTTGCTGAAATCGGAGTTCGGATGGTCTCCGAATTAATTTTTGAAGTTTCCAATTTGATTTTGCATCGAGATTCACACCCAATTAAGATAATTTTTTGATGATGTATCAAAACTGAATGCAAGTTCATGCAAAATAAATGGGTTCAAACCACATATAATAAGTTCAAAGATTTGGTCCACTAGCTTGAAATCAATGAGGACTTACTTTTGAATGTTTATTTTGAACCAAAGTTCGAAACAAAAGTTTGAACAACATTTGAACTTGTTTTAAACCTACAATAAATGGTTGAAATAAAGTTCAATATAGTGCAAACCAAAATTTGAATATTTATTTCGAAGCTAATGTTTGAACCCTAAGTTCAAAACATAAGTTTGAATTGGACTAAAACCAATGATAGGGAGTTCGAACAAAATTTTGAACGCAATCTGAACCGAGTTTCAAATGTCTATTTCAAAGCTATTATGTAACCATAAGTTAGAAATAGAAATTTGAACTTGGTTCAACTTGCCTCGAACCTAAGTTTGAACTTTGTTCAAATATTGTTTAAACCCAAACTATGGTTTTGAATTAGATTCAAATATGTTTTAGATTAAGCTCAAACATCATATTAGGGGTGCAAAAGAGTCGAGTCGAGCTCTAGTCAGGCCTAACTCAGTCGAGCTCGAGTCAGGCCTAGCTCGAGCTCGACTCGCGAGCCAAATCTTAAGCTCGAATTGGAGTTGAGCTCAAAAGGTGAGCTCGAGCTTAGCTCGTGTCATTGAAACGAGCTGGTCGAGTGGCTCATTTGAGCACCTTTGCATCACTTCCACGTCTCATCATACTTGTGTTCGAACTCTATCCTGCGTCCCACGTCCGAGCTCTGTCTCGCATTCAAACTTTGTCCGCCCACGTTCGAAATTTGTATCGCTTTCGAACTTCGTCTAAGCTCTATCCCACGTCTCGCGCCTAGAGTCCCGTGTTAGAATTCTGTCTTGCAATTGAGCTCACGTCCTAGTGCACCTGCTATTTCGAATTACTGCGTTGCGATCCCGCTTTCCAACCCACATTTGAGCACTCCTGTGCTACAACCCCGCCTTCATGTTCGAGATTTCGTCCAAGTCCACCCGCCATTACATCACACATCCAAGCCAACTCGCAAGTAATCGAGTCAAGCTTTGGTTGGATCGAACTTGAGCCCGATAATATAACAAGTTCGAAATTCTGTTCTAGCTCGACTAATGAGCT